CGTTTTATTAGATGGATCATATTTTAAGTAGAGGGCAATAACATAACGCAATATAGTTTTGAGCGCTTAGAGTTGGAGGCACGCCAATTTTTACTGCTATCTTTTGTGCGCACGAAAAGTGAATTATCATACATTCGTGAATGTGTTGTATAAAGTTGGTAACATGAAATAAAGCGCTGCCTGTATTCTGCAAAATATACCTATTAGGAAGAAAGCACACATATACGTAAGTGCACACATGTTCACATATAAACGTGTGTACAAAGGCAGACGTTGAAAAGCAAGAAGTAAAGAATATACAACTTATAGTGTTAATTTGTAGAGTAGATCTGGGATGGGTACATCGTAATATTGGAGGTTACAATGAGTGATGAAAGCATAAGGGAAACAATCACACCCATCTCATCCCGTGGATGACGTAAGATGTAACTTGCAGACACATCCACATTTTATCGTTTCCAATACTGTCCAAATCTTGTAGTTTCTGAAGGCAACACGACGGTACAATGATCTCATATTTAGTTTCAGTCAAGATGGCCGATCTTAACGGAAGCTAGCCATTTGCGCGGGACAGGAGTATAGTGCTCGAGTATGTGCACAAGCACAGGTGATTTCTCATGATTTCTCAGGTCTTAACTGTACGTGGCGCAAGAACGGAGCTGCGGGCGTTTGACGGCGAAAAATATACTTAAATGTATCTACGTATCACAGATAATGCTGTACTGACCGAATTTCGGTCACGGCAGCCAGTCTCAACGAAGACGAACAATTGTCAAAGGTGCGCTTTCTGATTCTGCGTAAACCGGCCTACCGCTTTATAATATTAATACAGATTTAAACAAACAAATTTTATAAAGAATTTTGTTAACACTCGCCAAATTTTTTTACAAATTAAATTCAATTACAACTGGGTTTGTTTACTTAAACGGGCCATGAATAGTGCTTCAATTTCCGGAGATTTCTTCAGAAGTTGAAGCAGTTGATAAGAAAGGCTTTTAAATCACTAACTTGTTGTGTAGCAGTGTTTGTTGTGTACGCGATCTATAGACGTCGTTGAGTTTAATAAGGTTTTCTTAACACAGTAACGTAATATATGATTTCACCAAATATTAAAATTTATGGTCTGGAATAAATTATTAAAATACGACATTGTGTAAAATACATATAATTTAAGAGTTGTTATTAATCTGTTATTAAACTTTAAAACGATAGACATTTCGGTAAAAACCTTTACCGTTACAGGTTGGCAATTTATGTCATTTTATGCTTCAAAATTGTTAATTTTTTATAGAATAAGGTTGATTAATAAGCACACAGTCCACCAATGATGGTAAGTGGTTGCTGTGGCCCATAAAAATCTACATCTATCCTCCATTAAGATCAAAATGCTGATGCGTTGTCACTCTTTAGGACTAAGATGCTTCCAGTAAAAAGGTTTCCGGTTCTTTACACTCACCATACAAAATACAGCAGTATTCAGCTACTATTTTAAGCTATTATTCTGTAACAGTGTGGTCCTTTCCCGGTCACTCCGACCCATTCGTGCTTAAATTATAATATAATTACAGCATGATTATACCACGTATAAATTCATTTGCTGTAAATAATATTTTTTCAGCAGTCGGATGAATGGCTTGTAATTCGACGGTTGTATAAACTCCATATGAAATATTTTCATGAAGTGATAGGTACTTTCTCAGTTGTTACCAAAAATATTTTATATTGTTAGCTCGTTTGTAGTGCAAAAGGTACGGCTCGGTAGCGCTGTGGCTGCGACGCTGGGGACCTTTGAATCTCACACGGATCAATTGTTAGAATGTTCTACAAATAATTGTTTCACGTCTGGTTTTTAGTCCAAATCGTTATATTATGTTTGACAAATGTATGCTAAAGTTAAAAAAAAGACAATCACAACAAAAATACACATTTAAAATGCAATTAAAATGCAAATATATATAAATGATAGATACTTATTTTGTCTTAATGCTATAATTTTTTAAATATTCCAAGTTATATTATTAGATTTTAAAAAGCGAGACACGAATATTGATTATGATAAAATTTGTCACCTATATTTTTCAATTCGGTGTAACATATGGCCAGTCTTAATGTGGATTTGTTGGCGGGACGCCAGATAACGGAGTGGTTACACCCGGCAACACGTACACCGTTCATGAATACTACATGCTACACTGGAGGATACTTTTCTTTTAGTGAATTTGCGGCGATTTCGGTCACCCCTTTTCAATTCTTAATGCCGGAGATTTCTTTCGTTGAACTTCTCCTTTTATTTCTTCCGAGTATCTCGTCTGTGGTGGCGCTCGTAAATAATTCGTTAAGTCTCCTTTGTTCCAGAACCGAAGGAACACTTTTAAAGTTGTGACGCTTTGACGGTAATGCAAATCTCTCAAATTCTTCGAAGCTGGCAAATATTATTAACTTGTCGGCTATTTTATTTTATTTACGTTCTAGAGCCCCGCTGCAGCTGTATTATAGTTCCTGCACGAATGTGTACCGCAGACCGCAGGACCATGTTCTTTCAGAATACCAGCGTGATATAACAGTATGATGCCATATATAATATAACGTAGATCTTATAAAGTATAGTGTGTGTGTGAGTGTGTGTGTGTGTGAGTGTGTGTGTGTGTGTGTGTGTGTGTGTGAGAGTGAGTGAGTGAGTGAGTGTGTGTGTGTGTGTGTGTGTGTGTGTGTGTGTGTGTGTGTGTGTGTGTGTGTGTATTAATATATTGTTACACCTAAAACTCTCACCACTCATATGGGTTGACTGGCTGAGAATGCATCCACCACTTGATTTTTTATGGGAATGCAATAAAGACAAATTATGTAAAATATTAATTATTATTTTTATTGATTGAAACATAGTTGGTTCTTTAACACATTATGCTTAATCTATTTTGAACTATATAATAGCGATATCGCATCCTAAGATAAAAATTAACTATGTAAGCTCTAATGAAACAAAATATATTGTTGTTTAGAATTCAAACTCAAATTGTCTTTTTTAACATTTTTCTTGAAAATAAACTTTGAATTCGGCATCCGACGTGATAAACATCGAAACGAGAATAAAACTAACACCGTCCGTTAAGTTTACTGGTCCATTAGAGGACCACTTTAACGCACTACTAAAACTAGCTGTGACCGGTGCGCCGGTACACCGTACAATATGAAGTACAAAATAATAATAAAGTACAAAAAGCAGATGCTCCCCAGACGAAGCTCGCAGACAAATAACAGCTAAAATGTGGTATAAATGTACTTGTATTTTCAGTTTACAGACGAGTGACGACGAGATTGTGGGCGAAGAATTTGAAGCACGACTTTTCACAACCACTGTATAGCCACGCATGCGGGCTGAATTTTTTTATTGTTGTATTTGAGTCTGTGTAAAAAGATATGAATTTTACGAATTTAAAAAATTCGTTTAAGCTGCTAAAAGCACTCGCTTGTTGGAGATTGTTCTTGCAAATGATTTGCATTAGCATTTAACAATCTTTATAATCGATAAAACATAAAAACAGTTTACTAAATATATAAATTTATCATTTAAATGTTTATTTGAAATGATGTCTAGTTAATTTAAATTATTATAGTAAATGTGACAACACAGTAGGAGATCCGATCCAAAGACAATTGGTGCTTACATGTTTTATCCTAAAGTAACAATTGTCGGATTTATAATAATTGATGTTCTACTCGGTGTTGCCACACCTAATATAAATAAACTTACATGGCATGCTGGTCGCTGATTTGAATCACCACAATCATCGTTTCGCTTTTCAGATATTTATTTGAAATAATAAATTAGAATTGGTTATTTTTTTTTGATAAAAGAAAAATCACTGAATCTTTTTGTAAGTCTGAAAAAGTGAAGGGATGACTTCTGTCACTATCGATGGTAAATAGCCTCCTTAATTCCTTCGTGGAATTGATTCATGCACTTTTAAATTTTGGCTATATTTACCATTGATTAGACAGTTAAAAGCGTCCCCGATAAAACCTGAGCACTATAAAATAAAATTATAAAATAAAATTTTACACATTTTTTTTGCTTTTATCACACCATAAGCTATTTTAAAACAAATTTAAATTAACTCACCTTTTTTTGCCACCAACTAACTTTTTATATTATTTAAATATGTACAAACATTTTTTTTATTTTCAAAGAATGCATAATTTTAAATACTAATAACTTTCTTTTGTTTTCTCTTTTACCACATGCTTAATATTTGTAAATAAACCGGAAAGTCAACGAGTATAGATATTTTATCGTTTAAATTGTCTTCAGCGTTTGAATATATTAAGCCTCTTTTGCGAAGTTAATTATTAAGATTACAAAACAATTGCGCTGGAATTAGACTTCTTTGTAGATTAAAGAAAGCTTTCAGAGTTTTATTGTATTTACGCTTTTATAGATTTTGGTGCGGACTTATTTAATTCATTTTGGTGTGTTCATTTATTCTTTTTTAAAATAGCCTTAGGTTGAAAGACTTTTTAAATGAAACTTTAACTACATCTAATAAATGAAATTCGATGAACTATATCAGATTCAATTCAGTAACAAACATGAATGCAGTAAAGTTTCACGAGATAAATAAAATGGTTCTTTAATATTTTTAAACGAAATTAAACTAATGTGCATTATTAGGAAATTGCAATTTAATATACTATTGAATGAGGCTGTCCATTTTGTAGCTCGTTAGTTAGGTACAATAAATTCGCCAATAATTAATAATCACGTTATTAAATATTAATTACTGTTTGAATTAATTGGATTCTAATGTTTTAAATGAAATTTGCTATAAGACCTTATAATGCCGCTGGCAACGAAATTATGTTGTATTTTTATATTTTTTAATCAGCGTTGACAAAATATAACATAATTTCAAAAAAATAAATGCTGACGTGTTCATTATATTACATAATCTAAGATTTCCTTTGAGCACGATCATAGATCTGATGGTACTTTATTGGTATAGTGCTGACGAGGGTTTTGACGGGACGTACCAGACGAACGTGGTGGTCAGAAACAACGGCAGTTGCCTGTATGTGCCTCCGGGCATTTTCAAGAGCACATGCAAGATAGACATCACTTGGTTCCCCTTCGACGATCAACATTGTGACATGAAGTTCGGTAGTTGGACCTACGATGGTAATCAGGTATAGCATCACGGTTAAATTTTACCGTTGATCTACAAAATCCGAAAAAAATTACATTACGAAACTTTTCCCAATATGCTCTTTTTGAAAAGAACTCTATGTAACATATAAGATAATGCTATATTTACGACATATATAATTATTTTGGTGTTCTAAAAGAATTTAGTTTTGAAACATACTATGATGTTTCTTAATACTATTCAAATACTTATGAAGGTAAAATATTTTTCGAAATAATAATTTTAATATTGCTACATATAATCAAAAAGGTGTACAGAATACATTGTTTTTGCTAGGTATTTATAAAAAAAAATGTAAGCGTACACATAATATATAGAACACAACACATTACTAAAGTAATATATAAACTACATACACGCTAGGGAATAAGGGAACCATGTGAGAAACCAAAAGGATATGAACTATCCCAAAAGTTTTGTATGTACTATTTTGCATGGAGCAAAATAATTTCTTCCTACTTTCCCACTATTGATCTAATACAGGAATTACAATCTATTTACTGCCATACGGATACGCTAAAATGAAATTATCTATTAAAATTATATCTATTCAAAACCTGTTTATTTGTGCCATTGATTTAAAATTAACAAACAAATAGATTTTGAATATATATATATATATTAATTAAGCAATCATATTATATTTATAAAAAAGCCTTTACGAAAACTTAAAAAATTAGTAATGAAAAAATAGCTAAAATTAATATAAGTTTGAGTTACACATATTTAGTATTCACCAATAACGTATATTTTGTTTCTTGGACAACGTTAAGAAGTTTATTGTAGGGTGGTAAGTATTGTTATCGTAAGTATTATTAGAATTAAAATACCGTAATGGACAAGAGCTATTTAAACCAAAATCTGACCTTGATTGCGTAATTTAGATCGTTGAACGTGTCTTAAACTATTCATAAGCTTCGTTATTCAAACATTAATGTAACTATCGATAGAACTCACAGTAGGCGACCATTACTGCTAAGTGTGGCACAAGTATAACTTTCAATTTTGCTGAGAGCTTGACCAGAAATTGTTATAAATGCATTGCATTTACGCAAATATTTACTTGGAAATTATATGTAAATGTTTTGGGTTTGAAATGCTTAACTCTCAAACTGATTTATAAACGTAATTTGAATAAAATACATAAGTTTTTCGTTGAGGCTTCATCAAATCATTATTTTAAATTTAGTTCAATATTAATCTAAAGATTTCAATAAAAAAAAAATCTTTAGATTTAATTCATTTCATTGAAGTAAATTTAAGTATAATACTGATCTAAATGTAAGTTTTATTTCGTTTTATAGTAGAGAATGCTTTGCATGATTATGGTCTTTTCTCTATATAGTTCTCCAAATCTCAAAGGTTCATTCATTATTCAGGAATATTCTATATTTATCCAAATTTATAGCTCACCTTTTTCCATATTTTATTTACTAACCTTCCTATTATATATAACCTTATAATCTACAATTGTTTTGTTAAATAATGGAATGAATCATCTTGTTTGTTAGTCTTAAGCGATATTACGGATACCTGGAATCTTTATCGCTACATGTTTTGCACATTAATTTGTGTTGAGTAATGTTAACATTGTATAATAAAATTGTAAATTTGATTTTCACGCCGGAAGGCATGATTATATCTATAGATTTTGCATTTGAAAGTGACCGTAATTGCGATGTAAGCCATTTAATCGCATAGTTTTAATGTACGTAAAAAATGTATATCCACTGCGTAAAAAAAGTTTTCTGCCATTTTCGACGGTTTGTTTTCATTTTGTATGAGTATGGTATTAAAGCATCCATCCATCCGTTGCCTCAATTAGGCGATCTATGGGGCATGTATTACACTTATGTTTGGAATTAATTGGTTTGGCAATATTTGACGTGTTTTTGATAAGGCTCGTAAGTGCGATTTCCCTTCATTTTCGTTAAATAGCAAAACCGACCCGGAGCAACTCTGCCGCCTGACGGTTTATTTTGGGTTTCCCTATGGACTTTTTAGAGTTTACGCTTCTTCTTCTATTCCTATTACTCGATCAATATCGATCATTACCATTTCAATTAATGCTAAAACGGGATTTTTTCGTCGACTGTTCATCTACACATGTGGTTTCCATTGGCTGTGTCAAATAATTCTATATATATCACCTGATAATGAACATCAACTTACAAATACAATTTTTCTTCTTCTTTACTTTGTCTTCTCTCAAATACTGTTCTCCTTGTGCTTTTATTATATCAAAAATAAAAAAGGTATCCATTATCGATACTGAGCACTCGGAGGTTTGAACAATGGGTATGTTTATTTATCATCACAAACATTGCAGAAACAGGTGAGCATTTGCATGTGTCACACATAATATATAATATATTATTAGCAACTTTAATTTATTCTTAAATTGTATTTTTATATATTATATAGCTATTTAAATATTGTATCCCACTGGCGTATTTTCCGTATGGCGGTATTAAAATCTTTGTTTTATTTTCTTGAGCACGGTTTAATATTTGTTACCCTGCACATTTTAGTTCCTCACATATCCCTGCTGCTAGATTATTGATTAGTTGTTACTAACAAATTTTGAGAGGTGTTCTATGAAAGCATGATGGGTCACCTCTAAAATTGAAGCATGACATATAAAATTTTATTATTTTTATAGTCTACTATTTGCCCCAATGTATTACGCAGAAAAGTTATCAGTCATTCCAAGCGCGTTTAAGAATCCCTGAATTAAATATTCTTTTCTATAAGGTAACGGCTTCTAGCATGGCTTTTGAAAGCAGATAAGAAATTTCAATTAATCATTATTTTATTCACACTATTGTTTTATTTAATATAACAGTTGGACCTGGTGCTTAAAGATGAAGCTGGTGGTGATTTATCTGATTTCATAACAAATGGAGAATGGTATTTAATAGGTGAGTATACTGAGAATTACTTTCATCTGTATGTATCGTATCGTATATTAATTTGAATTAGTTTTATTGCAATGATTTCTTATATTTTCGCGAATACTACACATTGAATAAAACTAATTTACGGAATTTATCGTATCCTAGTTTTAACTTCAGACGCCCCGGTTGCTTTGTAACATAATTTGCCACTATGTAACATTAGTTGACCATAAATGCTGCGCCTTGTAGTAATGGCGTAAGAAAATTCATATACACATCACCCTGTTGATGTCGTAAGATACAAGTGATGGGCAGCAGCATCTATCTCATAACAACTAATAATAATGCCTGCCAACAGTGTTACTATGCCAAATATCACCACTGCGAAAATTAATCGGAGAGGCCTATATTCTGCAGTTGACAGGCAGCGCAAGGCCCTCACGCCGTTGGGAGTTAAAATGAGTTTAAACTAAACGCGACGAAATCCGTAAACAATTTGTTTGGTGAATAATTTAAGGTTTTGCTTCCTAGGTAATATGAATGGCTATTTCAGGGATGCCTGGAAAGAAGAATACGATAACATATGCGTGTTGTCCAGAGCCCTACGTTGACGTCACATTCACAATCATGATCAGGAGGAGGACACTGTACTATTTTTTCAATTTAATAGTACCTTGTGTGCTGATTTCGTCAATGGCACTTCTTGGTTTCACATTACCTCCAGATTCCGGAGAGAAACTAACACTCGGTCAGTTACTTGTTTAATTTTATGATATTAATAAAATAATAAACATTAATAAGATTAGATTTTGATCCGACAAAATGCAATTATTGATATAAAGAGAGATTTACTAACTTGATTACATACCTACTTTCATTTTAAATATCAGCCATTTTCTAGGTTTGTATATAGAATATTGGTAACCAGAGATTGACTAACTCGGCTACATACTTCCATTTTCAATATCAGCCATTTTCTATCTTTGTATATAGAATATTGCAAACATTGCTGCTTGCAATCACTCTTAAATGTAAATTTGATATAGAATTTCAAATGCCTTAACTGATGATCGCATAAATAAAAACGGAATCTTTAATTTAATAGATTTATGCCACAGTCTTGTATAAAAGTTTTAAAGTTTTATCAAAATTTATCTATACTTTTGTAGGCGTGTATTCGCGATGGCGGTCAAGATTTTTTTATTTACGTTTCTTTTTGTTTTCATTTGTGCTGACAGGTGTAACGATTTTGTTATCGTTAACTGTTTTTCTCAACTTGGTGGCTGAAAAGATGCCTACAACTTCGGACGCCATTCCTTTAATAGGTATTTTAGAGACCAAAAACCATGCACGCTATTTCTTTAGTTATTTAGGGTGTCACAAGGATGCAATTTTAGACCTTTCTCATTTAGTGATATATTCACTATTTATTTCATCATCTTTGGTGCAATTAAAGAATTATGATGAGAATTCATTATTTTTTAAAGGTAATTCTATGCATCGTGCACAAAAGGTTATGATAAGGTTGTTTTAGTGTTCATATTCACCGTATATTTATATTTTTATTATATTTTTTCTACACTAGTGTATACAGTGTACACCCCTTACCCGTCGCAATAATTTTAATTAAAATGATGGCGACAAATAGTTTTAACTTTTAGTCAATTGCATCAAAAAAATCGGACATGCCTAATAGATAAATACAGGGGCTTATGGAGAGTTGTGTTGGACCGTAAGACGCGTTAGCCCAGTTCTACCAATTTGATGCTTCAGGTTTTTTTTGCATGTGATAGGGTTAACAATGTGTCTGATTTCAGGAGTCACTATACTACTCTCGCTGACGGTGTTCCTCAACTTGGTCGCCGAGACCCTGCCGCAGGTCTCCGACGCAATTCCCTTGTTAGGTACACTACCCACACCTGACCATTGTCGTTTGAACCAATCCCACCGCCTCCTTTTTTCCGTTATAATCGTGACTTCATTTTTTTGTCATTTTTTAGAGATTATTTTTATTGTGTAACTTAATTTTTGTTGAAATATTAAAATGATTATTTAAAAACATTACATGTAGTAAAATTAAGTAAATTTATTGCAGACGTAAAATTATTTTTTTGAACTCCCAAAAATAACACATACTATTGACATGTAATGGATTGCATACAAATGCTTTGAAAATAAGTATTTCATTACAACGACTCTTTTTATATATTCTTAAATATCAATGTTAATGAGAATCTTGGAATCGATTTCGTTATTCTTATTGTAATATAAAACAGTCAAACTATATGGCTTAAATCTAATTTATTGACATTGGCTTTCCATATGTTAAATTGTTTATAGCGTTCATTATTCTAATGCGTTCAAGAGATATTATATTTATAAGCATGGCATGTCATTTCAAGTCAAAAAATTCAACGATACTTTTCCATAATTATGGAATCACAAAGGTAAGTTCTTGCTTTACAGCACTTTTAAATATTTCTCAGTGATTTTCTTTTATTTCTTTGAAACACCATAGAATACGGCATCGATTCCATGGTGCGAAATATGTGTTATTTTTTATATTGGGTGTTAATGCTTTTTATAGGTATTATTCCACGCCTTGTTTATTACCGACTCTTTTTCGCGGTGTCCTAGATACTTGGAGGGTGGGTGGTGTAAATTTGAATAATTTCTAAAAAGTCTATGTTATTGTACGTATTAAACATAAAAAATAAAATACTGTTTGCATGATTCTCTGTTATCTTATGTTTATGTTTTCTCTTGAGCCCCTGTTACCAACTCAGCACACAAACAGGAAATGACGTCTCTGTTCGAACATGCGTTATTATGAGGACGGACATTTATAAAAGTAAAGGTTATGCAGCTTATTCGAACACTATGATTTTCATAGAATTTAATATTGATCTTTACAGGTGTAACAATTCTCCTGTCGCAAACAGTTTTCTCTCTATTGGTGGGACACGTCATCACAAAAACCTCAGAGGCGATCCCCCTAATAGGTGAGAAACCCGCGTTTACTGGCAAAATGTCTAGAACTTATAAATACCTAAATAAATGATGTTGTGACTTAGCTTGTTTTAAAGCAAAGTTAATGAATGGGTCACGAGGGATATTATTTATGTTCGAAAATAAAAAAGGCAGCTTAAAGATAAAAAAATAACTAAAAAATATTCCTCTTGCCGTTCATGAAGTAACACATAAAAATATTTAAATAGAATGCAGTTTCTGCTTGAATGATTCATACTTGAAGAAGAGCATAGATTTATTTTATCTATTTTAAAATGCATTTTAAAAACTCCTGTCTCAGAGATTTCTATGCTTTGACAGCTCTTTTATAAGCTCTGTGACACATGAAAAATAGACTTACTGCACTCAACGCGCTATCAAAAGCTTTAAACTTTCTCCCTAAATTGTAAATGTTCTTCAAAACTATTATCTTGATTGGCATTTGAAGTTGAATTTATTGTAATGTATTAAAATAATAATTATCTTTTTTCTGCCTTCAGCCAGCTTTCTGTCCCCTTTTTTTATTACGAAAAATGAACCACTCTTTACTTTTATTTCCTTCATTTCCGAGGTGCGACAAAATTTCAAGTTTTAAAAGTTTGTGACTACTGACGTCATACTTTTCTTCGCATGTTAAATAGGAAAACCTTAAATTTAATCTTAATAAAATAATAAAATCTAAAAGCACAACTCTCCTAATTTAATATTTTTTAATAATTGCTATTTAGAACTGGTTTTGCTTGTAGTTGACTAAAAAGACTGTGTTAAAGTTAAACAGCAATTAAACCATCAAAGTGGATGCGGGTAGAGAGGGTCCAGTCTCCAAGTATCTCGCGAACATCGGATGTAGCTACTTTGCCTGGTCTGTCTATAACACTACAATGATTTAGCATGAAGTCTGTATCAACGTTGCCAAGGGAACTAGAGTTTTATCAGATAATAAGTTTAAGAGAGATATGATAATAAAGAGTGTTCCGTTGTCAGTGTTGTAACTGCCTCTTATAACATTATTTTAGAAATGCCACATTCATATTTTTATATTGCAAACTTAAGTAACGCAATCTTGATTAAATGCTCTATTAAAAGTTATAAGGGGTTATTTATAATCGGTAAATATATTTATTTAATTTGGCGTATTTGATAAAATATCATCTGTTAAATTAATCTCACTTCATAACTCATTTTAAAATTTCCTTACTAAATGTCAATTAAAAACGCATGATAGAATTTCATATACATTTGACGTGTTTATGTTATGTCAATTAAAAACGCATGATAGAATTTCATATACATTTGACGTGTTTATGTTACTGATATTCTCGTATTTAATTTCATTAATTATTACTTAATTTAATGATTATATCTTAAATAAATTTTATCATATATTATATACAATAATTTAAATACTATTGTGTTTCTTTTAATTATTAATAAACACGTTAAATATTGAAAAACGTGTTCGTTTTTCAATTCACATAACCATCTCATTAAAGATGCATGAATAAACGCTTTTGATGTTTAAATGTGATATAATTAAATTATAATAAAATAAATAAATAGTACTAAAAACAATAACAGCTTTATTTTCATGCATAATTTTCTCCTTAATAACTTTCTTGTATTTTTTTAAATAATTGGTTTTGATCGCGCAAGCATAATGTTTTGTGTAATTAAATTAATTAAACATATTTGTTTTTAAATCATGAGAAAAAATATTAGAAGATTTACGTACATATGTATATAGCAAAGTGTTCTGGGTGACAGGGACTTACTTCAACTGCATCATGTTTATGGTGGCGTCATCCGTGGTGCTGACCGTCGTCGTACTGAACTATCATCATAGGACGGCAGACATACATGAGATGCCACAATGGGTAAGAGAAATTGTGTTTAAATATATTTTTATATCACATCTTACTAGCCGTTCACAATGTAAATATCCACGAAATTATAAGGGCTGATAAGAAATTTTGATGAAAATGGTTCCTTTGCTCGGAGGCTAAGTATATTCGAGCCGATATGTATTCGGTGAAGAAACGCAGCCAGCGTTCTTGCAAATCAGCCGCAGGAATAGATAGTGATTACTAAAATTATCATACAGGGATATTGCATGATAATTTTTTAATATATAATTAATATAAAATTATAATTTGCGCTTGCCCAGTGCTTTGCGCCTGTCTAAGAATTAATAGGAAACTTAGGGGACTGACGTTTGTAATCATTATAACTTGTTAAAATTTGTCTAAATAAAATAAAATTTTCCTACAGATAAAAACCGTGTTTCTGCAATGGTTACCATGGATCTTGCGAATGTCAAGACCGGGGAAGAAGATAACGAGAAAAACAATAATGATGACGAACAGAATGAGGGAACTGGAATTAAAGGAGCGTTCTTCAAAGTCATTGTTGGCGAACGTTTTGGATATAGATGATGACTTTAGACATGCGCCTCCGCCGCCTAACAGCACTGCTTCTACGGGAAATTTGGGGCCGGGGTATGAGGGGCAAGTCTTACTTCTTAATATATTAACTAATTAATTATTAATCTATACATACATATTGTAATAAATAAATCTGTAGAAAAATTGTGTTCACGATTCACGCAAAAATTATCAGGTGGATTTACATAAAATTTGGTGTGCAGGGAGTAAATGATCGTGTACAACATATAGACAACTTTTTATCCGCATACGGAAGATTAAAAAAGAAGGGTTATGTTTTTTTTGAAAGTTTATTGTCGAAATGGTTGCTGATGATTCTATTGGAATAGGATTTAGCTATATGCATAACAAGTCTATAGAAAAGTGTATGTGTGAAAACTAAACCCATTGTGCCACCAACCAGAAATGGCATAACGTTTCCCGAGACAGCTAGTATATATATTATATAAGGTATACCTTGTAAGAACATCCACTAACCCATATCGTCACGTGGGTGTCGTAAAAGGTGTCAGAGGAAATATGAAACAGGAGATGGGCAGCAGCATCTTCCTAATAACGACTCAAAATAATTAAAAAAAACTGCGGTTGCCAACTCACCTGCCAAGCGTGGCAACTATTAGTAAATCCCCCCTATGAGGCTATCTATGGGGGAGGCCTATGTTCAATAGTGGACTATTGTAGGCAGTGATGGTGATGGTGGATATAGCTAGTAAAATATAGAGTAAAGTCACAGCCTATGTATGCCCCACTGCTGGGAAATGTTCTCTCATTTTTAAGAGGTTTTAGAGCCAGTAACAGGCACCTGAAAAAGTTTTAGGCAAAGGAAATGTCCGTTATGTTGTCCCAAATCATGTTGCTGGACATCACATATCTTCGAAATATTTTTTAAGTTATACTTCTTTTGGGGCATTTGGGAAAAATATGAGAGTGAATTTTTACCATGCGCGCGCATACCGACACCTAAAAACGACACCATGAAGTTGTTACTATGCGCGCGCACACTAACACCTCAAAGCGACAACTAAAATGGGTAACTGTCTCTCAAGTTTTCGTGGGAATTAATAACTATATTTAAGGTACTTAGTTATTTTTGTTTTGTTATGCTAAAGAAGTACAACTTCCTACGTGCGTACATAAGTACACAAACACTTTTTTTTATATCTCAAAAATACAGTTTTCCTCACGATGTTTTTCTTCACTGTTGAATAGGTAGTAAATCAGTACCTAAAATAACAATTAACAATTTTGTTGGTGTCTACGGGGATCGAACTGGTTTTAACCAAGTACTGTGAAATTTTCATAAATATTCATTTATTCTATCCTAACAGTTGCCACAGTTGGCGTTGCAATTTAACAACTGTTGTATAAATAGACAAAATTAATGTAGTAAATAACTAAAATAATTTTTTGATAGAACCTCTCCAGCATATTTGAATTTACCTGTTAATTGTATATTATACTATATCTATATAATTGTACTAGCTGGCCAGGCAGACGTTGTTCTGCCCTTTCCGAAGACAAAAATCCTTAAATTCGCAATAAAAAATTTTGAGGGTCATTTATCGGGAGAAATCAGTTCAGTAGTTTATGAGTCCATCGCGGACAAACAACGTGACACGTAATTTTTATATATAAAGATATCAAATATATACATTCCAATGCTGGGCTTAAGTTTCTCATTTCTGAGAGGGTTTTTAATTTAGATCGTTTGAGGGGTTTTAAAATGTGGTATAATCAAAATAATTTCTCAATCGTAACTAAAATAGAAGGTATGATGCTAATAATTTCGAATGTTTCGTTAGATTAAACATACCAAATCATATCTTTGAATATTTATACAAGCGTTGTAATTAGATAGATATCAAATATCGATTACATAGTAAACAAACTTAAACTAAAGTTATAACCAAGTTATAATTAATACTATATAAGGCTTTGTTTGTCCAGGTGTTCGATATTCCGCTCGGACTTCCGCCGGTCGTTCGTTCGCCCCTCAACAATGGAGGACGTGGGGGGAGGGCTCGGCAGCCACCACCGTGAACTCCATCTTATACTGAGAGAGTTGCAGTTCATTACTGCGAGGATGAAGAAAGCTGACGAAGAGGCTGAACTGATTAGCGATTGGAAATTCGCCGCGATGGTTGTTGACAGGTGAGTAACTAAGTATAATTGAGTATCAAATTGAAAAATAACGCCGCTGTTATAGCTTTGGAGTACAAAATAAATGGAATAAAATTTTGTTTGTATAAAATTGAAAAGAAATTGCAGTCACCACCTGATGGTAAATGGCTACTGAAGTTTTTGGACATCTGCCTCCAGTTCCAAACTAAGAAGACTATAAATGCATTGTTACCTCTGAGTACTAAGATGGAATGTCGCAGCCTGTAATTGTACTGGTTTTCTTTATCCTGCAGACCTTCCTTTGAATAGGCTTTTAAGTCATTGCGCTTCACCATCTTAGGCTACATCACCACTTACCATCAGGTTTGATTGTATAGATAAGCGCTGGCGTATTAGAATATAAAAAAAGAGTCTTACCTATTTGCCGCCAAGCAGCAGTACCTCCACTGCAGCTTTTCAGTCTGAAGAGGATATAGTACATCTGTGGCCTAGTTCTTTGTTTGTAAGTGGTTGCAAGTTTCCTTAGACCGCTTTTTTAATTAATTATTTGATGGATTATCTTTCACCGCTATCACATGGTATTAAATATTTAGTAATAATTGATTTTTTACGTTTTATCATCTCATCAATATACATATAAATAAAATTGAAATCTGTCTGTCAAACTCAAAATACCTGCTTTATATTGAATTGAGAGTAATATTTACATGCCGTTAAGATATGAGTAACCATTTTTAAAATATTTTTCTGTCTGTTTGGACTAATCTTCAGAATGGCTGAACCGATTGTAATGAAACTCTATGAACAAATAAAGAGCAATGTCAGGAGTGATATATTTTACCCGAAAAGCTGAGGTTTTTTCAAAAAACTAATAAAATAAATGGTCTTCGATAATTATCTTAAACGTAAATGAGGTCACATTGTTAATTTGTAGGCAATAAACACGCCAACAAGCTCGCACGAGGGGTTTCAAAGAGAAACAATTTGGACACGGGCTATTTTGTAGAATCTCATAAAGCCTGCCCCGATTTTTATCACATTAAATCACTTAAAGTTTGGTCTAATACACCAGACTTAAAATATTCTAAAACCTTAATCCGGGCTTATAAACGTAAATATGCTTCAGAAGCCCTGGGATTAAGTAAGAATAAACTGCGTATTCTAACAAGAGCCCTGACTGGACACTGTTGTATAAAAAGCACATGTCCATCCTGGGACTAAGAACTCAAGGATGTGTCGATTCAGTTCCTTAAGGGAAGAAAGCACATCTGCACATCCTAACTGATTGTGGACCCTAAATGCGCAAACATTACACTCATCTAGGAAACTACTTAGCCTAGAAGTAGTGAAATTCTTACAGCTTCATATGTGGTAGAGCCATGCCGCAGCTATATTAGTAGTACAGTTGTAGCACGAATGGGTCGGCTCGACCGGGGAAAGACCACGCTCTCACGGAATACCAGCGGAAAAGAGCAGCTTGACACTGCTGAATTTCGTATGGTGAGTGCAGAGAAACGGAGACCTATTTTACATTTTATATTTTGCATTTTGATTCTTTATTGAGGATAAATGTAAATGCCTATGGCCACAGCAACCACTTACCATCAGGTGGACTGTGTAATCGTTTGTCACCCTATCCTATAAAAAAAAGCAAAGCAACTCCTGTAATTCAATGAAGATAAAGGGCTTAGCCGCTGTCGCTTTTCTAAAATTAAAATTCAAATGCCAGTGACGTCGTTATATAGCTTTAGTAACGTCACCGCATGACTCATGTTTACGTTCTCATGACAATTTTTAGGTGGTATGTTATGTTTTGTTATGATACATGTTGATCCGAATATAGAAAATATAAAAGTATAGCATGATTGCGATTGGCTCACAGCCTCAGCGGATGTAATAACGTCGCCACCAATTAGAAGTCGTTTTTTTTTCTAAAAGTAAAAGTTTTTCAGCGAACAGTGGTAGAGCCACGCGGCAGCTTTTGCTGTCGCACGGATGGGCCAGCTCGAACCGGGGTAGTACCACGACCTCACAGAAAACCAGCGTGAAGTAGAGGTTTACCTCTGCGTTTCGCTTGGTGAGTGCAGGTGGCCGGAGGCCCTTTTTACTGGAAATGAGGCATTCCATCTTAGTCCTTACGGGTGACAACGCATCTACATTTTGATTTGTAACAGAGGATAGATGTAGATGTCTATGGGCCGCAGCAACCACTGACCATCAGGTGGACTGTGTGCTCATTTGTCACCCTTATCCTATAAAAAAAAGAACTATAGCCATAGCGGATATCACAGTAGGCCTTACAGGTTGCCATGATACTGTCCTTTCTAGACCTGCATAGCTGCTTGTACAAATAAAAAAATCGATAGATACTATTCCACGCGAAGCCAGGGCGGTCGCTAGTTTAAGAATAAAATTAACGTAAAGGTAGTAAAGTTAGCCACATAGTGGCGGTTAAGAATATTCACTACTCCATATCTTCCCGTAGGTGTCGTAAGAGGCGACAGTGGGAAACATGCAGGAGATGGACAGCAGCATATTCCTGTTAACAGCAATAGTACAATAAAAAATTGCGGTTGCCGATCCGCTCGCCAAGCGTGGCAACTATTGCAAACATCTCCCCATGATGAAAGTTATGAAGTGACGTCTCAGTGATTGCGAGGGTGAAAACTGAAAACGATCACCGAATGGTTAAAGGAAAACCAAACCTAAACGTTTAGTTGAAAAGCTTGTTGTCTAATGAAGTCAATGCCCCGTCCCCTTCGTACTCTAATCTAAAGACCCGAAAACTTTCAGCTGGAATTATAAAACCGTTTCAGTCCCTAGAAGACTGAAATGCAATGTATGATATGAATGACAAGCTCATGGAAACTGTCCAGGTGGTCAGAGATAAGTTTTGCAAGACCCGTCTCAACACAAAAAACATAAAAGCTCTCCGATCATACTCTTAATCTCATGGCTGTTAGAAGGGAAATGAAGCTGCAGTTTTCAGCAGATTTGACAGCATACAGGCAACTGAACAGACAGATCTTCCAATGCATACTTAAAACGGCAAGGCCCCAAGTGTGGATGGATTTACAGCGTAGCTTTTGAAAGCTCTTCCGCAACTCTTTTGGAGGCGTTGAGCAGAAGTGCGATGGTCTTATTCCTCAAGAAAAGCGACAACGTTCTCTTGAAGAACTACAGACCAATTTCCCTTCTGAGTCGTGTCTACGTGCTGTTTTCGAGAGTCATTGCGAATCGTCTCGCACGTGGTCAAGCCGGTTTCTGAAAAGGCTTTAGAACCATAGACTGTATAAATACCATTTGGCAAATTGTACAGAAGACGGAAGAGTACAATCTGCTACTTTGCCTTGCGTATGTGGACTATGAGATAGCCTGTGATTTCATCGAAATTTGGGCGATGATACAGTCCCTTCAGCTGTGCCAAGTTGACTGTCGGTATATCGAAGTGAAATAGAGTTTATACAGTAGGGCTACGATGGCTATCCGAGTACAGAACGCGGTACGCAACCTATCCAACTGCAGACAGGTGTAAGACAGGGTGAATTTATATCCACAAAACTCTTCACCGCTGCATTGGAAGACGTTTTCAAGCTACTGAACTGGAAAGGACACGGTATTTACAATAATGGCGAGTACTTTACTCACACTCATAGTCCTTATGGCAGAATCGATGGAGGACCTAAGCATTTCACTCAATAACCTCAGTGGTGGCTCCCAACGAATACGTCTTAAGATGAACATGGACAAAACAAAGGTCATGTGTAATGTCCACGTCACACCTGTGCCGGTAGCTCATGGGAGCACTAAGCTCGAAGTTGTTGACGAGTATGTTTACTTGGGACAAATAGTCCAACTAGAAAAGTCCAAAGTGGTCAGTCGACGGATTCAACTCGGCTCGTCAGCGTTCGGGAAATTACGAAACATCTTCTCGTCAGGTATACCTCAAAAACCTGAAAACGAGATTGTACAACCAGTGAGTGTTGCCAATGATGACTTTTGGATCTGACACGTGGTTCTTTACTGCTGGCCATATAAGGACGCTCAAGGTTGCTCCGCGAGCTGTGGAGAGGGCTATGCTCGGAGTTTCTATGCGTGATAAACTTAGAAATGAGGTTATCCGCAGTAGAACCAGAGTGACCCACATTGCCCAATGGATTAGTAAGCTGAAGTGGCAATGGGCCGGCCATATGGTTGAAAGAACCGACAACCGATGGGAAAAGAAATTCTCGAGTGGCAGCCTCGTACCAGTAGGCGAAGTGTAGGGCAAACCTCCACTAGATGGAGTGACAAGCTGGTAAGTCGATGTATGCAAGTGGCTCAGGACCGTGGTTTGTGGCATTCATTATGGGATTCTTATGTTCAGCAGTGGACTTGTGAAGGACTATAATGATAATGATGATGATGATGAAAGATTGTTATATTTAAGATGTTAACGTTCTCTCTCGTTAATAAAAATTCAATGTAACATGGAGTTTTAAACGATCTTATGTATTTATTTCAATGGCAATAAATTAAAACAAATTTAATTAACTTTTAAAACAAAGGGTAACGAGTGTGATTTCGTATTAAATTACCAGCGTGTAAAGCAAACACATTAATTTAATATTTTGTGTAGGATCGAGATTTGATTTATTTTTTCGAATCAAATGAGAGCCGATTAATAATTGAAATGAGACCGAATATTTCCAGTATCATTTAATTTGTTAATTCGTTCCTCAATTCGATCTCCGCCAGTATTAATGAAATTGTTAAAATATTATGTACTGATTTATTTTGTGCTCAGCGGTGAAGGAAAAATCGTGAGGAAATCGGCATATCTGAGAAAAAAAATCGAAGTTATGTGCAGTGCGCCAACACTTGTTGGGGTAGCGCGATGGTCATGTCGTTGTTCGATATCTCTCTTAGCATTGTGAGGAGGCCTATACCTGCCCACCTGTGGAACCCTTACTGCTCTTTAACTAATTCATAAAAAATATGCTATCAATTAAAATAGTCTTCAACCATATTTTGAAGTGAAAATTACTTTA